AAGCTCATGGAGCGGGGAGAGAGAGGGCCCAGTAGCAACCGGTGAAGAGGCAGGGCCAGGAGCTAAGACTCGACCCCTGCAACCACAAATAGGTGAGTACATGCACACACACACACACACACACACACTCATATACAACAGGCCTAGTGTCGAATTGACATGTGCCTAGGACAAAATGGTAACACAAAAAAAAAAAAAAAAAAAAAAAGTGTTGGACTCAGTGCTCTGTGAAAATGTACAAGGTTTACAATTACATGTTACATATACAGTGCTAGCCACGGCATTATGCCGCCCCTCCCCCACACACATACCAAAATGCAAACACATACCATGAAAGATTGTAATAAAGTGGAACCTCGACTTATGAGTGCCCCAACATACGAGCCGTCACTCGGTCAATTTTTTGCTCAGAGTTATGAGCCAAAATCTGAGTTATGAGTGAGCTTTCCCTTCAAGGGAGGTTCCTTGATGCTGGGGAGGGGCTCTTGATCTAGGGAACTGGATCTGTGCTCCAATTCCCTAAATTAAGCCTGAATATCTTCCATCCCCTCTCCCACAGGTGCTGTATAATCCTACGGGTTTAGCGCTTCCCAATTATAATAATAAAAATAATGAACGAGCTTCAGAACGCCATTACTAGTTGGCGCAGCGAACACCACAACATCCCTCAGCAGTGCACGTGTTTACCTCGACATGGAAGCATTTCTCTTGTGTTTTGCTTGAGTTTTGTGCAGTTATTTTGCCAAATTTCTTTTTCTAACCATGGATCCTAAGAAAGTAAGTGCAAAGGACAGTGCTGAGAAGAAAAAGAGGATGATGCCCATGGAATTAAAGCATGAAATCATAGATAAACACAAGCGAGGTGTGCGGGTTGTGGACTTGGCCAGGCAATACCAGTGTAGTACTTCTACCATATGTATGATACTAAACCAGAAGGAGTCAATAAAGGCTACAGTGCCAGCCAAGGGTGTTACAATAATTTCTAAGCTGCAGCCCTCTGTCCATGAAAAGATGGAGGATGAAACAAACCTCCCTGGACAGGTTTTTATTGAAATGCCCTGCAGATGAAAGTGAGGAAAGCATAGAGAAAAAGCCAAAAAACAGTGAAAAGTGAAGTGAAAAAAAAAATTGTAGTAATTAAGTTCAGCGATAAAGTGTAGCATTAAGAGTGTAGCAAATAAGTTAAGCGATTAAGCGATAGAAAAAGGACGAAACAAAATGAACTCCTCCAGCATACGCCACTCAGTATATCCTTTCCACCCTCAACCTCTGCCAGCATCTCTTCTAAAAGGTAAATACGGTATAAATGTACACTTTATAAAACCAGTTTATTTCTTTATATTCTTTATGTTTTATTATGTTTTTATACAACATTTCTTATTTATAAATACATTGTTTCAGTGTTTTCCTTATGAAACTAATGATCTAGTGTAGTTAGCCTCACAAACACTGTTTTCTCTTATAATAAGAGCATGGGAAGATATGACCAGAGCGGGAGTGGGAATAGCCACCACCACTCATCACTAAATGACATTTTATTCATTCTAGAGTATATATCATGTTTCTATGTTATTTATATTGTTTATTATGTCATTTTAGATCAATTGTGATAGATAAATAAGCCGTAGAGTTGATACGTACTGTATTAGTGTTTATATTGGAGTATTCTGTCATGTCTCCCAAGAGCAGGAATTCCGCTGAAACAGATTAATAGCATTTCAATTAATTTAAATGAGGAAAATTTATTTGACAAACGAGCAAATTGAGTAACGAGCTAGGTCACGGGACGGATTAAACTCGTAAGTCAAGGTTCCATTGTATACAGTAGACCGTCTTTGACACGAGATTATTTGGCACGATTTGGTTATAGCACAATTGAAGAATTGTGGCACAATTTTATACAACACTTCGTAAAATTAATTTAATAAAATGGTTCAGGTTGCAGGAGGGGAAAAAATTTCCCTTTTCCTCAAGTGGCTGCCTTGCTGTGCGTCAGCAGGGAAGACTTCCTGCCATCCCCTGCCACCCCCTGACACTCCCAACTCCACCATCCGAGCATTCGCTCATACATGTCCAGTTCCACTTCTCTCCTACAAGCGAGCTGTGTTTGTGAATTGTGTTTTGATATTTTAATTACCATATCTTGTATCTGCCAAGCAATCATGACACCCAATAGGCATACCAGTGTTGCTGAAAGTGGCAAGAAAAGGTATAAGCATTTACGTCTTGGAATTAACGAAGAAAACAGAGATATTAGACAAGAGATAACCTGTGGCTGTAATGAAGCATCACTTTGTGCACCTAAAATGAGGTAAACATGAGTTTGTGTGACTTACTAACTGACTTACTTAATGACTTGACTGACTTATTGAATGACTTAAAGTTAGACTTTTTCACTAAAGAGGACCCTGAAACGGTGTCTAGAGCAGCTGATGCTGTACCGTCAATTGTATAATGTACTGCAGGGTGAAATAGAACAGAAATCCATTGCAGAGTTTATGCACACTCCAGTACAATCATCGACTTCATTACCAGAACCTCTACCATCCGCCTCAGCCCAGTAGGGCCACAGCATAACTCTCCACAATCATCCACAAACACCAGCACCCACAATTTAAGGTAAGAAATACTATTATTTTTGTTGCATCTGTAATCTTAAGCATTAAAAACAATATAATACATCACGACAATGAACTACAATTACATATTCACTTTTATTTTTGTAAGAAGTGGAGGCCTAAAAAAAAGTTGTTTTGCTTTTTTGGGGCTCACAGGAATGTAACCCTATTTTCCCCATAACTTCTTCAGTTCATTTAACACAGTTTTACCTAACACAGTGTTTTCAGGAACGTAACTACCATATTAAATGACGGTCTTCTGTATATATTTGCACACTTACTGAAGTTTTAATACTTGATGCTGCATCCTTTACACTTAATCACGTCCCTCATCTGTGCAGGAAGACTCTCACAAATTCTCGAGTGTTTGGGGAGGTATATTATTCCATGCCTCATGTAGAGCAATCTCCAGTCACGGGATGGAACTGATATCCTTGCCCAGTAAACTTCGTTTCACTAATGACCAGAGGTTCTCAATAGGGTTTAGGTCTGGGGAATTGCCTGGCCAGTCATTAAAGAACATCACTTAACAGTCCTTAAGCCACTGAACTACAGATTTGGCGGTATGACACGGTGTACTGTCCTGCATAAAAATTGTAGCCCCACACTTGTCAAATGCCTCAGGTAAATTGTCACACAATAGCTCCAGGTTATTATATTGGTTCATATACTGGTTTTTGGGAAGCACAATGAGCTCACCAACACTCTTGAGCATTGAAACACCCCAAAACCATGAGCAAGTCTGGGTGTTTGGTGGTCCCCCAGGTGTAGCATGGGTCTAGACTCTAGAGGGTCACTACCTCTGGGCCGGTACATGTCCCCTACGGTTACAGGTGATGGTGAAGGTTGCTTCATGACTCCAAAGTACTTCAGACCACTGTTGAGTATTTCAGTGAAGATATTTCTTTGCATAATCCAGCCTACGTTTCTTCTGCGGCATGGAGAGGATTGGTTTCTGAACCTGACGGTGACTACTGTAGCCTAGTTCTTACACATGTCTGTTAACAGTTCTTACAGACACCTCTGAGAAGATGTGGGTTCTTTTCTTTCAATTCTCTAGCAGTTATCTTAGGTGTACTCTCTAACTGCTTCTTTAACACAGTTAAGGTACAAACAGATGTCTTCTTCGAGGGGCCAGGCTGAGGTAAGTCGGGACCGCCACCAGCCTTGACACACTGCACCCAGTTCATCACTGAATGTTCACACACACCAACATTCTCCACTATTCCTTTCATCTGGTGCCCAGCTTTGTGAAGCCCTATGATTTGAGCTATAGTTTCAGGTGTTAAAGAATTCTTTTTACCCATAATCAAACATGTATAGCCCCAAAACCAAAGGGAACACTGGACAAAAGATGGGGCAGATGAGAGACAAAACTGCATCACTTCCTCTCACCACGGCAGCCACTTGAGCACTGAGGAGTCACTGTGGTGTGTGGCAGCAGGCTGTGACATCATGCTAATGGCTGCTACCTGGCATAATGCACTGACAAAAAAAGACCCCCCGTGATTTTCGTCACGGCATTTTTGCCGTGACTAGCACTGTAAGGCACACTTGACCAAAAACACATGATTTAGTCAGATGTAGGAAATAGTTCTAAGTGCAGGATCAAGTCGAGCACAGGAAGGAGTAATTTCAAAATAAGGGTAATTATAGCATCTAGCTCCCACTGGTCTTGATTGTGAAACTGGATTATGAAGCAATTGTGGCCAATTCAAGGATTTTGTGCTTATTCATTAAAAAAATTCTACAGTGGAGTACACCATGAGCTTCTCAGTTAATATTATGATTCTTAAAATGAAAGAAAACTGTTCAACTGTCTTTTGAAAATTAAGAAGACTTTTTATGTTCAATTGCTCTAATGATTAAATTTTTACCTTTTTGCCTGTGTATTTGTTTGCAGTCTCTGCAAGGAATTTCATAATCACAGTGTACATTAAGAGTTCATAATGAATTTGGAGTTTGTAATGGAAACTTTCAAGAACATAAGAAAGAAGGAACACTGCAACAGGCCTACTGACCCATGCAGAGCAGGTCCATGTCCTCCCCCCCAGATTAGTTCAATGACCCACCCAGTCTGGCCACCTCCACTCAAGGAAGGAGCACGGCACCAGACCCAGCAACACAAGCTAGTCAGGTCCAACTCACACCCAGTCCTTCCTGGATTATCAAGTTGATTTAATAATGGTCCAGGGCAGATTGAAATGTCATTTAAAATCTCCTTTACAAATAAGAAGTTAGCTGTGAATTCTAACAGCCATTATACTGAAATTTTTATTATACACTGAGAGTTGTTTGTTTTTATAGATCACTGGTAATAATTGCTTATTTTACCATTAATAATTTAAGTTACTGCCAACAACTGAAAAATGTTAAACATACCTGAGCACAAAGTTCACTTTCAAGTATTGAAACAGAATGGAAAAGTGCCATGCCAAGTGATTCTCGCACCTCTGAATCAGGTCTGAAATACAGTATATATAAAAAAGTTGAGATTCAGCATGCCAATATTAAATTACTCAACGTATTTTAATTGTACAAAATTACCAATTACAGTGGAACCTCGGTACTCCAACAGCTCCCTACTCAAACAATTCAGTATTCGAACACTTTGTTTGGTAAAAAAAATTGCTTGGGTAGTCGATCGTTTGCTCGGCACTCGACTAAACAAACACAACCCGCCAGAACTTCGCTCTAAAGTATTTCATGTTTCTTTGCATTTTTTGGTGTTTTTTTATATTATTTGTATAAATAAGTCACCATGGGGCCTACGAAGATTAGTGATAACAGCCAACCAAAAAGAAAATTGGTTGGGAATAATCTGTTTGGTACTCGAACAGATCAGCACTCGAACAGCCTTCTGAAATTAATTAAGTTCGAGTACTGAGGTTCCACTGTAATTTTTTTACTCAGAATTAACTTATACACATGTACTTGCATGATAATTTTTCTTTTTTTTTATCATGTCAGCCATTTCCCACCGAGGCAGGGTGACCCAAAAAGAAAAGAAAAAAACTCAAAAAGAAAGGAAAAACTAAAAAAGAAAGAAAAACTTTCATCATTGTTCAACACCTTCACCATCATTCACACACAATCACTGTCTTTACAGAGGCACTCAGATGCAACAGTTTAGATGTCCCTCCAAACAGCCAATATCCCAAACCCCTCTTTTAAGATGCAGGCATTGTAGTACTTCCCACTTCAAGGATTCAAGTCTGGCTAACCAGTTTCCCTGAATCCCTTCCCAAAATCCATTCGTCTCTATTCACTCCTGTCTAACACACTTATGCATGCTTGCTAACTAAAAATCTATAATACAGTAGGTGGAACACAGTGTCATAGTGATAAATATAGCCTTGAATCAAACCTATATCAAACATTTCAGGCATCATACTGAACACAATAATTCTCTAAAAGAGAACAAGGTGACCATATTTACCTTATTTTCACATAATTTCATGCATTATGATGTTCTGAAATATGAAAAACTATATTCTGTGAAGGATTTCATGAGCATTAACCCTTTTAGGGTCCGTGCCGTAGATCTACGGCTTTACGTTGAGGGTGCAAACCGTAGATCTACGCCATGAGCTCAGCTCACTCTGATAAGCTGAGAGTGGTAAATCTGGGCCTAGATATGAGAAAATACATCTATGTGGTATGTGTGCACCACATAAAACAAATCCTGCAGCACACAGTGCATAATGAGAGGAAAAAACTAAGACTGTAATTTTCTATTAAAACAGCGAATTTGCAGTGTTTTTTCGTATGTTTTTTATAGTTGTATTTGCAATTTCTTGGTCTCATTTGATAGAATGGAAGATATATTACATAAATAGAGATTATTTTGATTGGTTTTAGTAGTGAAAATGGCTTGAAACTGAGCTCAAAGTAGCGGAAATGCTAAATTTTTGCTGATGTTCAAGAGTTAACAAATGACCTCACATGTCTAATACACGCCAGCTGGTGGGTCTAATATATGTTCACAAATGTGGTGATATTATTTATACAATTATTACAATATTGCATAACAGTAAATCTTCTATTTTTTGGTTTGAATAAAAATTCATTATGTGAATAAAAAATCAAAATGGAATTCATTAGTAAAGCCTGAAAACATAACTAATGAACAGAGGAAATGTTAGTCTAGTGCCAGGAATGCCTGCATTTTTTTTATTCTGGACCTTATTTTAAAATTAGAATATTTTGAACTTTGCATTAAATTGGCCAAATTACCAATTTCCAATCACTTTATTTTGTAGTTGAAACAGTTGACTTGGCAGTTTCTTGTGCTCAATCAATAGAAAATAAGTAATACTAGTGAAATAGCTAAGAATTTGGTCAACCGGAATGATGTAATTGGCCTCAAATGGGAGTCAAAGTCGGCAAAATTGCTGATGTGTAAATATCGCTGACACATTAAAATTCGCGAGAGCATAATTTCGTCAATTTTCTATCAAATTTGTACTTTTTGTTTTATTACCTTCAGAAAAAGATTCTCTACCATTTCATAAGAAAAAATAACAAAATTATTTTTTGAAAATTCTTGGAACCTGGTGCACACTTTGAAATTTGGCCTCTGGACCCTGAAAGGGTTAAATAGGAACTGCAACATACTAGTATAACCTCTATATCTATAACAGATTGCTTTTCACCAAGTTGTCTCTTTACACTCTCTCTCTTGCTCTGTTCAGAACAGCCTTTCCAAAGAAAGCAAATTTAGTGCCTTCAACCTATCTTCACAGATAAAGATTTCTAATCCAGGTGATTAACTTTGTCATCCTTCTCTGTACCCATTCCAGTGTATTTATGCCCATTTTGTAATATGAAGACCATATTATATATCGTTGATACTGCCTTACCAACAATGCATAAATTTTAAGTGTAACCTTACAACTTCTATTATTTATGTTGTAAGTCTTGATATGAAGCCAAAAAGTTCACTGCAAGAACATATAAACTGTTGTGTTTACTTTAGATTTCTGTTAACTAGTAAACCCCATGACATACATTTCCTAAAAGCACCCCATGATACATAGGGGGCTCTTCGGAGCACCCCTAAAGTACCTTGAGTAGTTTGGCACAATCCACAATAAAAAGTCTAAATTTTAAACTTAAAATTGTATAGTTTGTTATATTAACAATATACGTGTATATCAATTACTCTGAAGACTGCATACTTACTCAGAAAGAGATGCAACTGCTTTCTCAACATTCTCTTCTAAGAGAGTATCAGATTTAAGTAAATCAATAATCTCAGTATTTGTTCTGTCACCAGCCAATATGTCTGTCACCTGGAAAGATAAAGTAATCTAGGTATAACCATAATCTTTAAGAATTCAGTGATTACAAACAGCATTATAGTTTCAGTACAGTAGTCCCCCCTATACCCGCAGGGGATACATTCCAAGATCTACCATGGATACCCAAAACTGCGGATAGTAGCAAACCCCTATACAGTGGACCTCCGCATAACGATTACCTCCGAATGCGACCAATTATGTAAGTGTAATTATGTAAGTGCATTTGTACGTGTATGTTTGGGGGTCTGAAATGGACTAATCTACTTCACAATATTCCTTATGGGAACAAATTCGGTCAGTACTGGCACCTGAACATACTTCTGGAGTGAAAAAATATCGTTAACCGGGGGTCCACTGTATATATTGTTTTTTGTTTATATACATCCCTATGATAAAGTTTACATTAATTGATAAACTATGCACAATAAGTTGAGAATTAGCACTTTTTCACTAATGGACAGCACTTCTCGGCTTCTCCTAGGCTCTGAAGAACTGCCAGCATCACTAGTTTTGCACTTTGGTGCCATTATTAAGCAAAATTAAGGGTTATTTTTGGGCCACAGTAAACCTTGGATAACTGAAACCACAGAAACTAAATTTGCAAATGTGGGGGTTCTACTGTACATGAATTTTTTTTTATCATCAAATTTAGAGGTTTGCTTTATTTAAATTAGTCATTATGTAATGTCCAATTTCTATTAGCAGTATCATCCAGCAGCAACAGCCTGGATGACCAGGCAAGCACCAGATGAGCCTGGCGCATGGTTGGGCTCCGGAAGTAGAAAAACTTGCAGAACTCATCAAAGGCACTTCAAATATACAGTGTAATACACAGTCTTCTCTATAAACTCGAAGGTGGTTATGTTCCAAGGTTTACCATGAAACTAGAAAACATGAATACAAAATAACATCTGCAAAACAAAATATATTTCAAATTTGGGTTTATTTTGTATTTAAGCAAACATATCTTCGTGACTGTTACTTTAATCTGGTTAATATTGACATTTTTAGGAATTAATGACTAAAATATGAAGAAATTTAGACTTAGGAAAACCAGTGAGCCAGAAAGAAAGTGGGATAATTGAACCTATCTACTGGCTGTTCTTTGGTAAAAAATCTTGGATAAGAATTTGCAAATAATGTATATTTGCTCTATGCATTATACAGAATAACACATTGATGGAATGACTAAGTTTAATACAGCTGCCATGGGTCTGGAATACAAATACTGCATAAAATGAAGAACATCTGTAAATACACTTTAATCTATGTATCTTTTTAGAAGCAAGTACAGTGGACCCCCGCTTAACGATCACCTCCCAATGCGACCAATTATGTAAGTGTATTTATGTAAGTGCGTTTGTACGTGTATGTTTGGGGGTCTGAAATGGACTAATCTACTTCACAATATTCCTTATGTGAGCAAATTTGGTCAGTGCTGGCACCTGAACATACTTCTCGAATGAAAAAATATCGTTAACCGGGGGTCCACTGTACTGCATTATGTTTGCCTAATGCCCATTACATAAGAGTGCTTGTATGAACAGATATGGCTTGGCCAGCAAGGACTGAGATTGTGATGACAATTTTCAACTCGCCTAGTTAGCAGGGACTGAGTTTAGGATCATTGAGATGACTTTTAGCTCACCTGGTCAGCAAGCGCTGGGTTAATGTAACAAACTTTAACACGTAAATGTTCACAAAGCACCTCACGAGTTTCAGGAAGGCATCCACTATCCATTCTTTCCTACTCTTGTGCAGTATTATCTGGTTGATGTGTTAACTGAAATTGAGAAACGTATAAGAGCTAATTAAATATTCACTTAACAAACCATGTTATGCTGTCTTGTAAAGACACACTAGAACTAGAATCCTAGAGCAAATGGTTAGAAGACAACAAACTAATGCTACACCTTGGGAAAACAGAAGACATACTCTTTGGCATGAAAAGTAGACTGCAAAGGGTAAATACTTTTAATGTCCAGTGTAATGGAGTATATTCAGTATATTCACTGAAATACCTTTGACCCAAGCATGTCAGAAATGATTGTGAACAATATAGTAAAAAAAAAAAAAAAAGCAAATGCCAGGCTAAAGTTCCTCTATAGACAGGCACAGTGTCTAACTACTGAGGCTTGCAGGACCCTAGATCTAGCTCATACAATGTCATGTAGATTATTCTTGTTCATGGTACTCTGCTTTAACATGAAAAAATAGACTGACTACAAATCACCCAAGAGAGCATGTAAGCCAGGATGAATTACAACTGGATATGCTGAATGTTGCAGACAGAGTAAAGCAAGTGAAGTTAAATCATGTTTATAAAATTGCTCATAAGCAGTGTCTAGAATATCTTGTTGCAAAGCTTGTCAAGGTTAGGAACCAAAACTAGTATGGTACTAAGGGAAGTGACCAGTTTTAGAGTACTTATAGTAGGTGGTCAGGCCTCAAAGTCTTTATTATACAGCAATACAGGAGTAGAAAGGATTGCCTGAACAGTCAAGGCCTGTCCTAGCATAAGCCAGTTCAGAATTACAAGGTACCTAATGAGTGAAGCTACAGAAGGGAGGAGTGTGATTTCTTGTATGGTTAGCATTCATGTATCTTTTATTGTAAACTGATAATTTCCATTTCATGTTCATGAAAATAACTCAGTTTAATTTCTATCGTACCTCTTTTTACTGTAACTGATCTTCACACACTTGAGTTACTTAGCTGTTCTAATTTTTAAGGTTATAATCAAGACTAATTTCTACTGTATCTTACAGGTAGGCTTTAAATAATATCACACAGACCCCATAGGAAATAAATTGCTGACTTTTTTTTAGGTTATTCTAGGTAATTTTGACATGTTACTATGTATGACAATTGTACTTAGGTGCACCTGTACCTATATAAACTTATATTTACCCTGAAAGCGACAATAATGTGTAACTTTTGAAAATTTATAATGAAAATATGCAGTACAAAAATTATAATTAAATTCATGTATAAGCACTAAACCTTTGGGGTCTATATTTCATACAGAAAATAAAATGTAATCAGAGATGATTAAAAAAGAAAAGCTCCCAATGGAAATAAATCAATGACTCAAATGGAAATAAGTCATTGTTTGCCTTTTTTTTGAGGTTATCCTAAGTAATTTACACGTGTTATTTATGTATGATAATTTGTGTAACTATATTTATGTGTACCTGTACCTAAATAAACTTACTCCAAGTCGCTGGAACAAGAGCCTCGCCAGCATCAAGGAAGTTCCCCTGAAGGATGCAATATACTATATAAAAAAAAAATTACTGCTCGACATACAGCTGTTAACAGTTGAACTATTATTATTCTTAGTTTCTGGGGGAGCGCCAAACCCACAGTGATCATACATCACCTGCAAAAGTGGGAGGCATTCAACTTTAATTCAAGGAAGGGAAGCACAGATCCAATTCCTTAGATCAAGAGCCACTCACCCGCATTAAAGAACCTCCTTTGACGGAAGAGCTAGAGGAACCAAAGTTCCTTCTTCAAGTTATAAGCACTTAGAGGTTTTTTCTCCTCCCTATGACACTAAAATAATTTGTAGTTTTGTTTCTATTGTTGTGTTGCTTCAGTAATGATGTAAGTGAACACTGCTGCTGCAGCTGCCTGGGTTTGTAAGGGCCACTCACACGTTATACTGTAACTGTACTGAGTCTTGCTTCCTCATGTAGTATTAAGTTTATTCAGGTGTACACTAATACAGTTACATAGATTATCATACATAGAAGCATATGTGTGCAGAACCTACGATAACCCAGAAAAGTCAAAATGACTTATTTCCATTGGGGTAGTAGTAGTAGTAGTAATTGTAGTAGTAGTAGTGGTAGTAGTAGTGGTAGTAGTTGTATTATTATTATTATTATTAGTAGTAGTAGTAGTAGTAGTGGTAGTAATGGTGGTAGTAGTAGTTGTAGTAGTAGTAGTAGTAGTGGTAGTAGTTGTAGTAGTAGTAGTAGTAGTAGTAATTGTAGTAGTAATTGTAGTAGTAGTAATATTAGCAGTAATAATAGTAGTAGTAGTAGTAACAGTAGTAGTAGTAGTAGTAGTAGTAGTAGTAGTAGTAGTAGTAGTAGTAGTAGTAGTAGTAGTAGTAGTAGTAGTAGTTGTTGTAGTAGTAGTACTAGTGGTGGTAGTAGTTGTAGTAGTGGTAGTAGTTGTAGTAGTGGTAGTAGTTGTAGTAGTAACAGTAGTAGTAGTAGCAGCAGTAGTAGTAGTAGTAGTAGTAGTAGTAGTAGTAGTAGTAGTAGTAGTAGTAGTAGTAGTAGTAGTAGTAGTAGTAGTAGTCCTAAGAAGCAAGATCACCACCCATCTAGAAACCCATCAGTTACACAACCCAGGGCAACATGGGTTTAGAACAGGTCGCTCCTGTCTGTCTCAACTATTGGATCACTACGACAAGGTCCTAGATGCACTAGAAGACAAAAAGAATGCAGATGTAATATATACAGACTTTGCAAAAGCCTTCGACAAGTGTGACCATGGCGTAATAGCGCACAAAATGCGTGCTAAAGGAATAACAGGAAAAGTCGGTCGATGGATCTATAATTTCCTCACTAACAGAACACAGAGAGTAGTAGTCAACAGAGTAAAGTCCGAGGCAGGCACGGTGAAAAGCTCTGTTCCACAAGGCACAGTACTCGCTCCCATCTTGTTCCTCATCCTCATATCTGACACAGACAAGGATGTCAGCCACAGCAGTTTAATAGTTAGTTTAATATGTTTATTATGCACCCCATACCCATCCAGTGGGCGGTAGTCAAAAGATTACAGAGGTACATAATGGGTCCAGGGACTGGGCCTCAAAGTTTTGATAGCTGAGCAAGTTACAGAGGTAATGAATTCACAATTTACAAAGGTAATGAACTCACAATTTACAAAGGTAATGAACTCCAGGTAGGTCTAGTCACAATCATGACAAGTTACAAAGGTATTTACAGATTACAGAGGTACACAATGGGTCCAGGGACCGGGCTCCAAAGTTTTGATGGCTGAACTAGGTACAAGGTAATGAACTCACAAGTTACAAAGGTAATGAATACTGTAAGAATGGTTACTTACGTGTATACATGGCTGCAATCATGAACAAATTTTAGAGTAATGAGCAATTCACACTTCCACACCCGGTCACAACTGTAGTGAGTTATTGGTGCAAATGTTGATTGCTGAGTCTCTCTCTCTCTCACACACACACACACACACACATACAAATTCATACACACACACACACACATAATCACACACACACACACACACACATTGTTACCCTGCCAAATGCAAAGTCATGAAGATTGGGGAAGGGCAAAGAAGACCGCAGACACAATATAGTTTAGATGGCCAAAGACTGCAAACCTCACTCAAGGAAAAAGATCTGGGGGTGAGTATAACACCGAACATATCTCCTGAGGCGCACATCAATCAGATAACTGCTGCAGCATACGGGCGCCTGGCAAACCTACGGATAGCGTTCCGATACCTCAGTAAGGATTCGTTTAAGACTCTGTACACCATCTACGTCAGGCCCATACTGGAGTATGCAGCACCAGTTTGGAATCCACACCTAGTCAAGCACGTCAAGAAATTAGAGAAAGTGCAAAGGTTTGCAACAAGACTAGTCCCAGAGCTACGGGGATTGTCCTATGAAGAAAGGTTGAGGGAAATCGGCCTGACGACACTGGAGGCCAGGAGGGTCAGGGGAGACATGATAACGACATATAAAATACTGTGCGGAATAGACGAGGTGGACAAAGACGGGATGTTCCAGAGATGGATACAGACACAAGAGGTCACAATTGGAAGTTGAAGACTCAGATGAATCAAAGGGGTGTTAGGAAGTATTTCTTCAGTCATAGAGTAGTCAGGCCATGGAATAGCCTAGAAAGTGATGTGGTGGAGGCAGGAACCATACATAGTTTTAAGGCGAGGTATGATAGAGCTCATGGGGCAGGGAGAGAGAGGACCTAGTAGCAATCAGCGAAGAGGCGGGGCCAGGAGCTGTGACTCGACCCCTGCAACCACAAATAGGTGAGTACACACAGTGGTGGAGACAGTGTAGTGGGTCACAAGCGCCAGGCTCCGAGGATCTTAGTGCTTTTAGGGCGTGTTTCAGCAGCTAGAAGCAACCAGTGTTAGTGACAACGTCAATGAACAACCCTACAAGTGATAACCAATGTATTAGCAAAAATAAATAAAGTAAAGGCGAGAGAAAGCCTGAAATTATACAACAAAATTTCAAAGTGCCAGTTCGTTGAGGCCTAGCTGGCACCTGTTGCCACATTGTTACACATATACAAAGTACAAAGCGAGTGACTAAAGAGAAAAGACCAAATAGAATTAAGACAGGGTGGCTAACGACAAAATGTGATGTAGCACAGCGTGAACAAGCTAGCCAGAAAGGGATATATAATAACATACATACATAAATATATATAAGCAGAGGTGGTGGCAACAGTAGGCCTGAGGGAGTAGCGCCGCCAAACAGTTGGGTGTCATCACAAATAAGTAGTGTACTTATCAAAAGTGAGTGTAAATTATAAAAGTAGCAGTATACAAGTGATAATTGTGGTAATGAGGACTCAAAAGGGCAACGAGAAAAGAATAGCTGAAGAAGTCAGCGGCGATGGCGAGGTGTACGAGTCATCGACAGCGAGCATCGTAACAGCAAGCATCGGTACATCAGCATCTGGATGGACGTCCCCTCTGAGTAACGTACAAATCACCTGGTTTGTGTTGGCGAAGTCTGAGTGGTAGAGCCGGCCCTGCGTCACTGGTGGCCCGCTATCTAAACCCTGCTCCAGAGCAATTATCATACACACAACACCTAAGCAGTAGAGAAGATAAATTTGTAGAGCAAGGACAATGGGACTACAGCCCGACAACAGTTTCGGAGATAATGTTTTAGGACACAAAGACAGTACAATCGAGAATGCAATATTGGGTACACAGTAGTAAAAGGTAGTACATAACTGGGCGAAAGAATGACTTGTTAACACACGCTAGTATTATAATTATTAGAACTACTCTCAGTGTTAATGGTATCTCATTAGTATTATGGATACACAGAAGTGAATTGTATTTCTGGGACATATAAACACTGACGGCTCACACACACACACACCACGCACCACATACACTCGCTGGGGCCAGGAACTGGGTCTCGACCCCTGAAACCACAACTAGGTGAGTACACACAGCTGATCCTTGGAATTTGACCGCCTCCCCCACAGACCTTCACCCCCTCTACCTTTTCCTCCCTCACGTTTCTCTCTCTCACACACAGCCTTTTTCCTCCTCCACTTTTCCCCCTACCTCACTCTCTCTCTCTCTCTCTCTCTCTCCTCTCTCTCTCTCCACTCTCTCTCCCCCTCTCTCTCCTCTCTCCTCATCTCTCTCTCTCTCCTCTCTCTCCTCTCTCACCCCTCTCTCCCTCTCTCTCATCCCTCCTCTCTCCTCTCTCTCTCCCCTACTCTCCTCTCCCGCTCTCTCTCCCTCTCTCTCTCCTCTCTCTTCCCTCTCTCTCTCCCCTCTCTCTCTCCTCCTCTCTCACTCTCCTCTCTCTCTCTCCCTCCTCTCTCTCCCTCTCTCTCTCCCTCCTCCTCCCTCTCTCCCCCATCTCTCCCCTCTCTCCCTCCTCTCTCACTCTCTCTCCCTCCTTCTCTCCCTCTCTCTCTCCCCTCTCTCTCTCCTCTCTCTCTCCCTCTCTCTCTCTCCACCTCTCTCCCTCTCTCTCTCCCTCTCTCTCTCCCTCTCTCTCTCCCTCTCTCTTCTTCTCCCTCTCTCTCTCCTCTCTCTCTCCCTCTCCTCCCTCTCTCTCTCCCTCTCTCTCTCCCTCTCCCTCCCTCTCTCTCCCCTCTCTCTCTCCCTCTCTCTCTCCCTCTCCTCTCCCTCTCTCTCCCCTCTCTCTCTCCCTCTACTCTCCCTCCTCCCCCTCTCTCTCTCCCTCTCCTCTCCCTCTCTCTCCCTCTCTCTCCCCCTCTCTCTCTCTCTCTCTCTCCCTCTCTCCCTCTCTCCCTCTCTCTCTCCCTCTCTCTCTCTCCCTCTCTTCCTCCCTCTCTCTCTCCCTCTCTCTCCCCCTCTCTCTTCCCTCTCTCTCCCCTCTCTCTCTCCCTCTCTCTCTCTCTCCTCTCTCATCTCTCCTCCATCTCTCTCTCTCTCTCTCTCCTCTCTCTCTCTCCTCTCTCTCTTCCTCTTCTCTCTCTCTCCTCTCTCACTCCCCTCCCTCCTCTCTCTCTCCCTCACTCCCATAACCCAATCTCTCACCCTCCTCTCTCTCTATAGGCTCTCTCTCCATCTCTCCATTTCTCTCTCTCATAGCCTTTTCCCTCACCCTCCTTTCTCCCTCTCTCTCTCTTTCTCTCCCTCTCCCTCTCCCTCTCTTTCTCCCTCTCTCTACCCTTTCTCTCCCCCCTCACATTTCTCTCTCTCCCCCTTGGTCTTATCCCTCACCCCCATACTCTCTCCTCTCTCTCCCTCTTTCTACCCCTTCTCTCTCCTCTCTCTCCCTCTTTCTACCCTTTCATCTCCTCCCCCCACACCCTCTCCCTCCTCTAGCCTTCTGTCTGTGGTTAAAAAAAAAAAAAAAAAAAAAAAAAAAAAAAAAAAAAAAAAAAAAAAAAAAAAAAAATGGGTGGCCTTAGAGGACGGAAAACCAGAGATCTGGAAGACGAACCAGGGAGGAAAGA